GGTGGTGTTTGGGCCATTGGGTGACCCGGGCATTGGCTTCCAGCCCTGTCTGCAGCGGCATTCGTAGCCACCCACGTTGTTGAGGCAGTGGGTGGTGTTATGGCATGGGTTTTGCCCCGAAGAACATTCATTCACATCTGAGGACAAAGCCAGAAGGTCAGGCCCTGCCCAGCTTGGCTCAGTCCTTCCCTTACCTCACCACAGCCAGTTTCCCATTTTCTTAAAAGTCTGAAAGTGCTGCCATCTGGTGACCTTCAAAGTCAATCCCAAAGCACCTTCTGGTGTTCTCCCCTTAAGATGCCTGCAAAGCAGGGACCATGCTCCCCAGTTTATGGGCAGTGAAACGGAAGCCAGGAGGGAAAGCGGAGTCATGGGAGCTGGACTCCTAACTAAGGACTCCCTCCTGTTGCCTCCCCTGCCCTGGCCAAGGTTCCCCTTCTCTGAAGGGAACTGGCACCTTCTCTGCTGGCATGAGGCATATGAGAAAGGTCTGGGGTTGCTCTCAGGAGTAGTGTCCGTTCTCTGGTGTTGCTATAGCAGACATGCCACAAATGGATGCGTTAACAAACAGGAATTTGTTCTCTTACAGTTTAGAAGGGAGCTCTGGTGGCGTAGTGCCTAAGGCATTTGACTGCTAACCAGACGGCTGGAGGTTCAAACCCACCAGCCACTCCTCGGAAGGACGACTGGGCAATCCACTTCCGTAGAGAAACCACCTCGGAAACCCAATGAGGCTAGAAGTCCAGATTTAGACTGCTGGCTGTAGGGGCTGGGTGAGGGGCCCTTGACCTTGGCCTTCAATTCTGCCTCTTGTTCCAGGCCCACTGGAGCTGGAGGCGTCTCCTAACTCACGCTGAGGCTGATGAACCCAAGGTCGGCAAATAGAATGACACAGTCCCAAGATCAACAGGCAACATGTCAGACCATTGGTTCACGTCCAGGAACAATCCTAAGATCGGCAGGATCCAGACATGCCAAAAAGCCAGAGAGCATTGGCAAAGTCTCCTTATACACTGGAAGCACGCTGTACCCCAAAGGCAACTACTTAGCTGCTCACAGCAGTTTCCACCATGCAGGTGATTACAATCTCATCATGGAGAATAACTATATCCAGCTGCCCAGCCACTCAAAACCATGGCCCAGCCAAGTCGACACACATCTTTAACTACCACAGGCAGGGAACTCTGCAGAGGAACCCCAGTGGGGTGAGACTGTGGGCAGGGCTCTAGCAGATCCTTGGCGTTGTAGAAATCTGCAGATCTTCTCCTGCCTCCTTGGGCTGTGTGACCTGCCTCCATCCATACCCAGTCCAGCCTCACACGCGTCTTCTGGGGGCTCTACCTGCGCACACCTTCACGTCGTCCGGTTTGAACTCAAAGCCGAGGGGGCACTGGCAGGTATAGCTGCCGTGTGTGTTGATGCAGGTGCCTCGGCTTTTACAGAGTTTCTGGTTCTGCTGACACTCGTCCACGTCTGCAAGAGGAAGGAGAGGGTGGTGGACCTGCAGCCCTGGGCAGCCTTCGGGGCTGGGGACGGCACATTTCCTGGTGCAGAAACATCTATAAGGCTGTCTCCTCCCCAGCAAGTGGCCTTGTCTAATTCACACGGAGGTGTCTATGGGCAAGGATGGTGGCCCAGATGTTCGGCTGTCCAGATGTGGCCAAAATGGCTGAGTTTTCCCCATCTGCCAGATCCGGCCCCTTTGTCCCCCTGGGCAGCCCCCAGCTGGGGTGGGGGCATCCTGGCCTTCTGTGTCTGGGCCTGAGGAAGTGGAGCAAGGCCAGGGTGGGCTTCCTGGGAACGGAACCTGGGAAATACTGCTTCCCCCAGCAGGCCTCCTCTGGGCTCTCTGTGGTGACCTCTCGCTCCAGGCACCTCTGGCCTGATTCCTTGGGGCAGCTGCTCTCTGGCCGAGTTCTCCTCGCAGTCCCAGCCACCCTAGCAGGTCAGCACTCTCTCATCTACACCAGCTCTGAGACTCCAGCTCCCAGAAGACGGACCGAGGCTTGCACCTGAGCCAGGATGATGTGGGCAGGCTGTGCCTTGCACAAGGGGGCCAGGCCAGGGTGGGCAGCACTGGGGCTGAGAAGGCACATTTTCTGACTCCCACAAAGGCACCCTGTGGACTTGGCAGGAGATGAGTGGGTGAGAATCCAGGTCTAAGTGGACAGTCACATCTCACCCTCGCCTCCCACCAGTGGGGCTCAGTCCAGAATGGTCCGGCCCCCACACATCTGGGTTGACCTCCTTGGGAAAGACTGTGCCCACTAAATGGTACTGAAGACGTCCTCTCTGCTGTCTGATCCAGACAGAGCCTGGGGTCACCCAGCTCTCCAGGTGGGGGTGGGGGTCAGTTTTACACAGTTCCCACCTCCAGTAACCTTTAGACCTGTCCCTCAGGCTTGTGACCCAAAATTATTTGGGAAAGCCTGGGCAGAGACTTGGCCAGGGAAATGGGATGCAGGCTGAGCATGAAAGGGAATCGGGGTCAGCAGTGCCTTCTCCTGGTGGAGGTCATTGGCCAGGGGATGGTGGACCTACCCTTGAATCTCCCACCTCCCATGCAGACAAGCCCCTGGGTCACTGTGGCCCAGAGGGTCAGAGAGGGTCCTGGGCACAACTGAGCACTGGAGACCCAGAAGGTGATGCATGTGGACAGATGGGTGTGGCAGTCCAGGTCCTCCTGGAGAAGTCAGGAAGAAGGTGAAGAGGATGGATATTGTGCTAGAACATACCATAAGGAGAGGCTTTAAGTATTTCGAATACTATCCCTTTTGTTTTGTCCAAATAAGATGTCACTGGGCAGGGGAGAAGGACTGAGGAAACAGAGGTACCTATGCCTGTCATAGGCCCCACGGGCTGTGACATGGTGGACATGCCATCAGGTGTGGCCGAGAATGGAGTGCTGAGGGGTGAGGTCCTGGAAGGATGTAGACAGAGCCCACTGAGCCCCTCACTAAGCTGGGTCTTCAGGCCACAGGCTCGCCTCTGAACTCCCTGTCACCCGACTGGAGGCCCAAGGGAACCCCTCTCCGACATCACCCCTTTTCAACCCTTCATCCAATCTCTGCCTGAGCCCCTCTCTCAGCTCTAGCCTGTATCTACCACGGCGACAATGACCATCCCCTTCCCCTGCACGTGGGGGGATCGGGGCAGCGGGTGCGGGGTTCCACCAGCCCAGGCCGTGGAGGGGGATCCATGACCTTCCTGCGCAGTTGCTCAGGTTGTTCGCTGTACACGACGGTCGGTCCGCAGAGGGGACGAGTGGAGGCTGAAAACCAGCCCACCCCTATTCCGCAAACACGACTGTGTCGACCTGGACAAGAGAGGCTGTTGCCTAATTCACAAAGGTTCTGTCCTCGGGCCTAGCCACCCATGTGGGGCAGCGTCCACCAACAGGGGTCGCTGTGTGGACCAGCAGAGCTGTGTTCCTGTCTCTAGCAGGCACACTCTGCCCTGCCCACTCCTCCCTCCCACAGGGTAGGCTCCGCCCACTTCCTGCTCATTGGCCGGGAGGGGAGAGGCTGGAACTCCAGCCAGGTGCTTTTTTTTCTCTGCATAGGAAGGGTCTGAGGGACTCTCGGCCTGGCTCACCCCCCACCTTTGCTCAGTTCCCCTCCAAGCTCTCTAGGCTCCGCTCTGACTCCCTCTCTGGTGAGTCGTGGCTCTCGCGTGCGCCCCCTGCTGACTCCCACCTGCCCTGCAGATGCCTGAGGCCCTGCCCTACCCAGCTGGCTCCCCTGGAAAATGGGCACAGCCTGGTTATGCGAGGGGTGCCAGCTCCTGAGCCTGAAATGGGGCCTCCTGCAAGACCACCCTGGAGATGGCTTTATCAGCCATCACAGATAAACACTTTCTGTGAGCCAGGTGCTGTTAAGCCCCCTTGTGATCTCATTAACTTCCCAGTCATGCTACCCTTGTCACCTCCCTCTAACAGATGGGTAAACTGAGGCACAGAGAAGCAAAGTAACCTGGTAACAAAAGGCAAAACTGCTCTAGTTTTTGTAGATGGGGACTTTCTCCTTTCCTCACTGCCCCCCCCCCGCCTTTTTTATAACAGAAAATGACAGTAATGTTATCATATCTCAAACATGAACATGCCTTCTGAGTAAGTGTCCTGGCCAATGTCACACAGCCAGCTAGCAGGCAGCAGAGGAAGGATTTGGACCCAGGCACCTGGTCCCAGGGTCTGTGTCTGTGGCTCTCACACCACCTGCTCTCTGTCCTGGTGGTGGTGGGACAGGCCCACAGCACACCTGTCCCATCTCAGATGCGAGAACCTCATCTGTAGCCAGGGCCCTGCCCCTGGAGGCTGCAGAACAGCTCTGGAGGAGGGGGGACGGAGGACGGTGGGGGTTCTTACCTTGACACATGTTCTCACTCTCGTTTCGGAATGCTTTTCCCCCAGTAGGAAGCATGTATCCTGGGCTGCATGTGCAGTAGTAACTCCCCTCCACGTTCTGGCAGTCGGCAAATTTTCCACAGGACACCCTCACAGGTGGGGCACACTCGTTGATGTCTGGACATAACAGGGCAAGAAGTCCCCTCCTGTAGACGTGAGTTTCCTCAGGGCAGAGACCTCCCCCAGCTGACTCCCCAGCACAGGGAATAAGACTCAGGCTGAGCTGTTGCAGCTGGGCTGTGGCTTGAGCAAGCCATTCCTGAAGGTTACCTATTGGCTCTGTTCATCTGAGCTTTCTGGCTGGCAGATTTGGACATAGTGGGTAGTATCTAAAGTGGGGGATAGGTGGGAAGCTGTGTATCTATCCCCCTCCCTCCAGAAAGCCCTGTTTATTCACTTCTCATCTCTCCAACTCAATCTCTTTTCCTTTCTCTTTGCTCTCGATGACAGTCCCTGAGGTCAAGGGCTGACGTGCCCCACCACCCACGTCCCCCTCTGGTGTGGGGGTGATGTCCCACAGTCTCTGGTGCACTCTTCACCCCCATCCCAAGCCTCTGTACCGTCACAGGCCTCTGCAGGGCTGGTGATGTCCCCAGATGGAGAACTGAATCCCGGGTCACAGCGACAGGCGGTGGCACTGATACATGTGGAGTTTTCAGGGCACCACCGGGCACAGTTTGCTGTGGGGACAGAGACCATGGTCAGAAGGTGAGGTCTGAGCCAGGAGCTGGGGGGGTGGGGCCAGGGTGGAGGGAGTGTTGGGGGTAGGGGACAGCCCTGGTCCTCAGCTTTCTGGGCTGAGGGGGTGTAGGGTGGGGTCCAGGTCCCTCCCCAGGCTTGGGCTGTGGCCAC